CTTTAGATTCTCTGTGTCTCTATTTGTTACTATCTGTCTGTCTCCTTTTATCTTTCCAAAAATCTATTCTCAGCCTAATGAATTTGTCCTCTGCTGAGGCAGATGTTGAGTTCTCAACCTACTGTGAAGACAGATGTTGCTTCCCAACCTCTTGAGGTGCCACCAACCAAATATCCTGCGCAAAATAACTCCAAAATGCTGTTATGACTGAACTGAAAAACAAAAGACAAAAAAACATTCAAACTCATACATTAATTAATGTAAAAGCACAATTGCAATCATATCACTGATGTATATATGTTTAACCATGTTATTGGATTTATTGATTATTGAAGTCATACATGGAAAATTGTGAGAATTTTGAATCAGCAGAATATTATTTGGCCATTCAGAATCAATCATAGATGACTATTATATTTAGTTCAATATTTGAGGCATCATAAACCAAGGGAATAAAGGCCTTTCTTCAGTAACAGGTTACACGTAATAACTATTAATTATGCAACTAACCCTAAACCAAACCCAAACTCTAACTCTATAGTAAGAACATGTTAATTATAATTACACATTACTTAAATGCATAATTACACTGTAACATGGACAACTTAAAATAAAGTCTAGCCCTTTCTTTCTTTCCTATCTCTTTGCATAATTTTAAACAGATTCCTTTGTTTTCTAGCACTGCCGTCATTACCAATACAAATAATAGATAAATAACACTTTTTTGGTGCGTATAGCCTAATATTGTGGAACAAACACAAAAGTGAGTAGTTAATGATGACAGAATTTTCCAATTGGGGTGAACTGCCTTTTTGTTAAAAATAAGCTGTACAAATCTTTTCGCTTTCGCTCATCTCATAAGAGCCCATTGAGCTTACACTAGAGCACACCTGAGCCCAGCCTACGGTGTTTGTGCATTGAAAGGTGACTTTTAAATGTCTCCTATCTCAGAATGCTAATTAATACCTCAACAGCTTATCGGTTTTCCTGGAGGGTTTATTCAGCGCCCAAATCAAGCATCGATCCACCACAGACCATCTGATCCCAGGAGGAAAATCTTCAGATTCTCTGTGTGGCAGATATAGAGATGGAGCATCCGTACCTGTCTGCCTTTTTATCTCTCTCTTTCTCTCTCTCTCTCTGCCCCTGGGCTCTACGGTGTGGTGAAAGTCAATGACTCCCTGGCCTTGCGCCTGCACACATGGCTCTGGGGGCAATCTGTGTTGAAAATGAAATGGTACAAGCTCAGTTTCACGCTGCCCCGGGCTGTATTGTACATTAGGCAGGACTTACATTGGACTCCTGTCTCTCTCCCTGTCAGTAATTAGGCAGGCTCGGACGAGTTGAATGATTTAATTTTCAGTGACGCTGCCAACTGTGTGTCAGTTGCTGATAGCATGTTATCTCTGGCTCTTTGTCCCTGTTCTCTCGCTCACTAGTTCACTCTGTGTCTCTTTATGTGTGTGTGCAAGGCAAAGTGGGATATCAGCATAAATTCTTTTCACATCACAGTCTAAATTTCTTGTCACTTACTGTACGATTCCTTTCCCGTGTTCCTCCGTCTTGGCTTCTCATCTTATGTAGTTTTCTAATGGTTCCTGTGTTTTACTTCCTGTGTTGGTTTGTTTCCATAGTAACCCTCATTCATCTCCGTAGCTACTAATCACACTCACCTGTTTCTTGCCCTTGTTATCTTGGCCAAAGAACGTATATTGACAAGAAGTGAAAGCCAATAGAATGTTCCATTGCAAAAACAGCAGCCCTACGCATCCGCCATTTTGGGGTGAAAGCGACTCGGCAGTCATATACTGTATTATACATAAATTTAGTCCAGTGCAGAGGTCATTTTTAGGTTGAAATAATTAGGTGATTATTTTAACTCACAACAGTTAACATTATAGCAGTTAAAAAGAAGTTGCTAAACCAGACTTTTCCCCCACATAACCTGAGACAGGGAAGTTCAAGGATTTAATTAATTATATTACTCTCCGTCTCCACATTATGTGTGACAGGTAAGAATAAAATGATATCAGTTCATAAACTTATAATAACATTAGACCATTTCCCAGGAGACAAAGACACTGACAGGTTATGATGTATTGGTTTATGTCAAGATGTCATAACAAAGACATCTTAAAGGAGAACTCCGGCGAACAAAGAACCTTTGGTCTAATAAAACATCGGTACCTAGTCAATCGTTCTCTGAGTTTTGTTTTCATGATAATCGAATGTAAAGAGTTTTCTCTCTAAAAACTGTTTAGCGTATAATGCTAGTAATGGGGGCATTGACTAAGTAAAAAGAAATCGCTAGTTTATACCACTAACAAGGCTCAAAATAGCCCCACACTAACACAGTAACATAATGAGGCTCCATACATGCAAAACGAAGCATTGAGAACTTTGTAAGTGTACAGACCGTTTAATAAGAAGATACTTTATGAAGACAGTTCACTACGCGTATACAGGCAGGAGCCATCTTAAAAAATAGTCTCGATAAGTCGATCCCCGAACGCCGTTCATACAGTTCAGAAGTTCGCTGAACTTCATACAGTTCAGATCACTCAGCACGACGTTCGTGGTTTGACTTATCGAGACTATTTTTTAAGATGGCTCCTGTCTGTGTACGTGAAGTGAACTGTCTTCATAAAGTATCTTCTTATTAAATGGTTTGTACACTTACAAAGTTCTCAATGCTTCGTTTTGCATATGGAGCCTCATTATGTTACTGTGTGAGTGTGGGGCTATTTTGAGCCTTTTTGGTGGTATAAACTAGCGATTTCTTTTTACTTAGTCAATGCCCCCATTACTAGCATTATACGCTAAACAGTTTTTAGAGATAAAACTCTTTACATTCGATTATCATGAAAACAAATCTCAGAGAACGGTTGACTATGTACCGATGTTTTATTAGACCAAAGGTTCATTGTTCGCCGGAGTTCTCCTTTAAACAATGTCATATTTGCATTCATGATGTCATTATTGATTGAATGACACTTAATGAAAGTTATCACAAACATGCATAAACCCTACTTCATATTCAAGAGATACCTGTATGTCATGTCAAGGTTGTTAAGGTGTCATGTCAGTCTTATGCACACCCCTTAAAGTGTTACAAAATTCTGTTGTGTACCTTATCAACACTCTTTTATATATGCAAGGAATTGATTTGTTGGTAAACATAATTCTACAGCGGAAAACAAATGTTAGTTAATGTTGAATAGTGTTCACTTTACAATATAAGGTTCCATTAATACATACTTTATTAATGGTAATTCAATTAATAAAGAGTCTACAAATGTTAGCAACACATGTGGAATTAGTGTACACTTTTCACTCAATCCATTAATAAACGAAGAGTTCAGATGCAAAAGCCTCTAAATGTCATTTGAAATGTTCTTCTAAAATGGTGTATGGTACAATTAAATACAATTTACATTGTCCAATGTGCTTTACAATATGAATAAATATCATAAAAGACTGACAGCAAAACAACAACAAAAGTACAGGTGTACATTTAAATAGACTACTGCAAGGTAGTGACCATTTCAAAAATGACCATTTTTTATCAAGCTTGTATATTTAAGTTCAGTAATTTCACTTAAATGACAATTAATAGGTAATCCTCATTGCCATTTAAGTGAAATAACTGAACTTAAATATACAAGCTTGATAAAAATGATCATTCCAGAAGAAAATTTCAAATGGCACTTAGAGGCTTTTGCATCTGAACTCTTCAAATACATATTTGAATTAAAGTAATGACAGTAAAGGATGTATAAACAATGCATTTGCAATGCATTCTCATCCTAAGGCGTCATATAGTGACACTTTTGAAATTTTGTCTACTGTAATTCCAACGCGTATGGCACCCTTTAGCGTCAATATAACTCATACAGAGCTTTTTCGGTTATGGTAGGTTTAGTTCTGGGGTAGGGTTAGTGTTAGACCACTAGGAGGCGCCTTCTGACCCATATATATCTGCGTCTCATATTGACGCTAAAGGGTGCCATGTGCGTTGGATATAGACGAAATGTCAAAAGCGTCAGTATACGACGCCTTCGGATGAGAACGGGATATTTTTCCACTGTAGAATTATGTTTATCAACAAATCAATGAATTATATATATAAAAGAGTGTTGATAAGGTACACAACAGTATTTTTACATTTAGGGTAACATGGTGAGTATAAAATGTTCATACTTAGTGTGTGTCAGCTACGTAAACGAATTAAGTACAGTAAGTTAACCATACAAAGCAGTAAAGCTATTTGTTACAGTAACTAATGCAATAACAATGTTAACTAACCGTGCTGTAAATGTGAATTGATGCATTGGTACATGTGTGAGTTAACGTTAACAAATCTTAACTAATGCTGAACAGAGATGTTGTTCATGGTTAGTTCATGTTAACTAATGCAATAATTAATGTTAACTAATGGAACCGTATTGTAAAGTGTTACCGATGATTCTTAGCAGATGAATTTCATATTTTTACAGGATTTTTTTTTTTTCACGGTATAATTACAACTGAGGGAGGTTTAAATATGGGAATTGTGATGAAAATAAACTCACAATGCAAAACAACTTTGAATCCTCCCAAAAAGAGTCACACAAGGCTCCCCTACTATGAAGTCTCCTCACAATTCGACGAGAAGAATATATTACCGCACACACACATCTGAGTTCAGCATCAGATACCAGAGGCCAAACCATCTGCCAGCCTGATAGCTGGCCTGTGAGACTCGGTTCACCGTTTCCTCATTTCCTTTCACCACTCACTACCCAAAGGCCAAAACCTTCCACTGCTACACTTACAGAATGATAGATTTCACGGCTTTGTCCTTGTCTTAGCAGTGACCATCTGAAAATAACCTGCCACTCTTTAATCGATGCTCCGTAAATCAAGTGCTCTTTATCGCGGTATTCCCCTGTCCAGGCGCAAGCGGGAGCACACACAAGGCCCAAAGGCGTTAATGTTAGGTTTTTGTCTCTTTGTTGTAGGCTAGTGCCTGCCATGGATTCGGAAGACGAACCCTTGTTGCTCCAAGGTACCTGGAACCTAAGCGAGTTTGAAGAGCAAGAGGAAGATGATGAGGAGGAGGAGGGAGAAGAAGGAACAGAACGGGAAAATGGAGACAAGCAGGTCTGTAAGGGGTTGTGGTGGGCTTTGGGCTGGGTGTACACGCAGCCCTGGGCCAGCGGGATGGTTCTGGCTGTGGGATTTCTGGTACCCTTCACCCTCTCAGCATATATGTTCCTTCACTGTGAACCATTAGACATTGACCTTTCCTACAGCGCATTCGAGGTCAGGAGTCATGCCTCTGCAGAACGTTTTGACGCTCTCGCCATCGCCCTGAAAAGTCAGTTGGGGTCTTGGGACAGGCACAGGCGTGACGCCGAGGGATTTGACTTTGAAGCCAATGCTCTGAGGGACCTTTTGTTGCTCATGGTAAACAGAAAAGGGAAGGACGTCTCCGCGATGACGAATGTCACAGAACCTGCTGAGACTGAGACAGGGCTACACAATGACACCAGACAGTTTGGAAATGAGAAAAACAACAAGATGAAAGAGGAAAAGACAGACTCGGCAAACCCCAAGATGGCGGCACTCAATTCCAGTGATGCTGAAGATCACAGGAGACCAGACTCACCCTTAATCAGGAAGAGAAGATTTTCAGGCTACTCCTACATACAGACCCAGGCCCTCTGGAGGATAGAGCTAGTTTTTGTGGCCCAGGGTGACAAGGATAACAACATTTTCACCCCCGAACGCCTTCACACCATACACCGCGTGGAGAGACTTCTAATGCAGCACCCTCAGTTTCAACAGTTCTGCTGGAAGCCACTGGAGGCGTTGCGAGACTTGCCCCTGGGACCTTCCTTCTGCTCGCCTCCAAGCTCGCTCCTGTCCTACCTCTTTCCCAGTGAGCGTGCCGGGAAGATCTACTATGATGGAATGGGACCTGATCTAGCTGACATACATGGTGAGTCAGTTGGAGGGGCAAACTATCCCAATCTCTACTAATGATTCAGTAATTCTCCGTCAATTAAATTAGAAATTTTTTAAATATAGAGGATAAAATTAAGCTCATTTGTTGCAAGTAAGCTCAGCTAAGTTTTATATTTATGTTTTATTTGATTCCCTGTTTTTATGGTCTCCATGTTGGCCATTAGCCAGTCCTAGTTTGTTTGGATCAGGGGTGGCCAATCCTGTTCATATTCCTACCCAGATAGCACAAGTCTATTTGATGTGATTTTTACATCTGGAAGACGTATTTTAAAGAGTGTTTGCTCATCTGCAATACGTCTATAGTACGTTTCCTGTCAGATGTCAAATAGACGGTTAGAAGATGTCAGTAGGCCCCGTCCACACTACTGCGTTTTCGTTTAAAAACGGAGACCTTTTGCTACGTTTGCACCTCCCGTCCAGACTAAAACGGGAAAAACGAAGACCTAAAACGGAGAAGTTTAGAAACGCTGGAGCTGCGTTTTGCGTTTTGAATCTCCGGAGGGCGTTTTAGTGTGGACGAGACAAAACCATACGAAATGGAGAACTTCAGAAACGCTGACGCAGAGGCTGACGCTTGGCTCCATGATTGGGTGTTATCAGTCATGACGTATCCTTCCCTGATTCGTCATTCACTGTTTACACCGGCACGCGCATGCCCAGTGTTGGTGAATGGTCACGTGATCCGCGTTTTCAGACGGAGATCGTTTCTAATACGCAGATAAAACGCTGGTGTGGACGGAGATCGTATTCGTTTTAATTCTCCGTTTTTAAACGAAAACGCAGTAGTGTGGACGGGGCCCTAAAGACATCTTCTAAACGTCTATTTGACATCTGACGGGAAACTTCCTATAGACGTATTGCAGATGAGCGAACACTCTCAAAAATACGTTTTTCAGATGTAAAAATCACATCAAATAGACTCAGTTCAGATCCATCCATCCCTGATCCAACACACCTGTCTGTAATTATCAACTTTGCAGTAAGGTAGATCTCCAGGAACAGGATGGTTGACCAGTTGGTGAAGATCAAGCTGTGCTGACAGTTAAACTGGAATGTCCTGGTTTTCCAGTTGGATTATCCCTGGTTAACATACTGTATATCAGGGGTGTCCAATCCGGCTCCTGGGCGACCAGTGTGAGTGTCTTGTAGAGGTGATCCTCAAGATCTGGATTAGCTAGTGAGTTTAATTAGAGCTCGAGTTAAACTTTTCAGAAAAAGGTCCAGGAGAAGAACCCAAATATATTGTAAAAAGTAACATCAAATGGTTGTATGATGTTCAAGGCCTCTTTCACTATCAATCCAACCAGTAACTGAATTTTTTTTTTTTTTTCTTTTTTTTTCAGGTTCCCTGAGCTTGGCGATTACCCATCCACAGTTTTACTGGTATGTGGATGAGACTCTCTCACCAGACAATCTTCAGTCCTCTCTTCTTCGCAGTGAGATCCATTTTGGAGCTCCCCTTCAGTCTTTCTACTCTCTTCAAGACAGACCTTTAGAACAGAGACGTCTCTTCAGAGAATTTGTGGTGCAGTATGCGAACATCCTTTCACAACAATCCACCAGGTGGGTGTTGAGATTGCAGTCGGCACAGTAACGCAAACAAGAAGGCTTTTTGTTTATTTGTCTAGTCTAATGCCATGTATGGTTTAAGGCAAATGCAATTTAACGAGCATGCAAACCAGAGGATGCATCAAAAGATTCAAAAGTAAACAAGAAGGCTTATTGTTTATTTGTCTAGTCTAATGCCATGTATGGTTAAAGGCAAATGCAATTTAACAAGCATGCAAACCAGAGGAGTCATCAAAAGATACACAATGGCTTAAATGGTCATTGTAAACGTGCAGAATTAACTTTGTTAGCAGAAGCTTTATTTCCCACCCTGTGTTCTCCCATACAGAGCTTATCTTTTTTTGAATTATTATTAATAGCCTCATTTGCATAAAAATTCCATATGCATTAAGACGTGTTTTCTTGAGCTCCGTGAATATATCTTGAGCTTAATTTCTCACACCACAGGGATTGTACTTGTTTAAAGCATAAACCAAACATACATTTAGCAGTTTCTCGTTTGATAATTTTTCTGCATAATGTTGTTTATTAAATACATTTATGTAATTCCAAACACACAAGTATAATACATGTTTTATCTTCCTTTCAGTGATCAACTCCATACAAAAGGAGGGCATTTTTATTATAAAAGTAATATACCGTATTAAATGAAAATGTAAGTGTGCATGAAAATTGCAATATGGCAGAATTTTCTTTCACAAATTTTACGTCCATAAAACTGAGCCATCATCTCAGTGGCACGATCAATCATGAATCATGGCTCTTCTGCGTGGCAGCTGGAGAGACTGTTCGCTTTACTAATGCAAAACTAATGGGTTATATATAAATGATTAAACACAAAATGGGAGTCTATTAAGCCTAAGTATTCCTTATAGTGTCAAAGACAGAAGTCAGTTAGTCAGCCGATACGCTTTTGGTTGTAGTAATTTTTGCAAGGATGATCACCAAACAACACCAGTTATGAATCACAGACAATGACCCAAAGCTTCATTACATCTGCAAAACAACCCTATTATATTTACTGCTGTCAAGTGTATGCAGATGCTCTTGAAATGACAATCAATACTGCTGGGATAACAATGGTAGGCCTAGAAATGAGCCGATGGTCAGACACAAAATAGACATTCATTGTATCTCTGATACAGTAATAACTCCTTTAAGAGCCCCTCGATGTAATTAAGATAATCTTTTTCCATCAGCTAATGTGTCTCTCATCCCCCTCATCTGGTCCTTCCCTTGTAACCCATTCTCATCTGGACTACCCTCCACTCTCATCCAATTTTCTGTTTTTTACTCTCTCTCTAGTAAAGTGAAGGTGTTGTACGGGGGTACAGAGTTATTTGACGATGAGGTGCGGAAGACCTTCCACAGTGACATGTTGCTGGCTTTGTTCAGTGGAGGATGCATTACTGTCCTTGTGTATGTTCTAACCTCATTTTCTGGTAAGACACTCAATATGCATTCTAATGAAATAAACCTAAAGATACCATGTATTACAGTTAGTTGTTGTTCGGGCAACACAGATTAGAGATGCCTAGCTCATTATATAAATTATTTTACAATTCACTACATGAAGTAATTAATTAATTCCCAATTAGTTAACACTAATCAGTAAGCTACTTTCAGTTATAAACTGTTCTAAAACAGTCTAATGCTGCATAGTTTTTTATTTTATTTTAATCTATTACTGTAATCATAAACACACTCTTTTGTAGCACAAATAGTTCTTACTGCACTTTGTTATTAATCTAGTTATTCACCTGTAATGAATCATACACACATTCAAGAATGTAGTTTTTTTATACATTCCACAAAATAAACAACTTTTCCAATAGCCATACCTATTCAGAGAGAATGTGATTTCAGATGCAGCCTCTGTGTTTGTGAGTGAGTCATTGAATTATTCACCTAACAATTCATACAAGCAGACTGAATTCAGCAAGGAAACACCACTTTGTGTTGCTCTGGGAGAAACTGTTGGTTCTGCTTTTGTCATGATGTGGAACTGTTGTCCTTGGCAGAGCAAACAGACAAAGTATCTGCCTAAAATCAATGTAAGTTACACAAGCACATATATATTGAACAGTTTAAAACTATAGCGTCACTCTCACAATTGTGCTGTTTGGTTTGAACACTGCGTCATGACTTGGAATTGCTTATGTGATTGAATTCTTAAATACAAATTTGTGTATATATATATATATATATATATATATACTGTATATTATGGCTGTGCAAAGATTAATTGCGATTAATCACATCTAAAATAAAAGTTTGTGTCTACATAATATATTTGTGTGATGTGTGTGCTGTGAATAATTATTTTGTATATATAAATACACACATATGCATGTATATATTTAAGAAAATGTGTTATTCATATATAAAATATTACTAATATTACTATTTATATATAATATAGATTATGTATATATATATATATATATATATATATAGTATTTAAATAAATGCAAAGAATTTTTAAATATATACATGTATATGTATTTATATATACAAAATAATTTTGGATGTGATTAATGGCAATCATTCTTTGCACAGACCTAATATATATATATATATATATATATGAAGAGTTCAGATGCAAAAGCCTCTAAGTGCCATTTGAAATTTTCTTCTAGAATGGTCATTTTTATCAAGCTTGTATATTTAAGTTCAGTGATTTCACTTAAATGGCAATGATAATTACCTATTAATTGTTATTTAAGTGAAATTACTGAACTTAAATATACAAATTTGATAAAAATCATCTATAAAGTATAATTTCAAATGGCATTTAGAGGCTTTTGCATCTGAACTCTTCATATATATATATGAAGAGTTCAGATACAAAAGCCTCTAAGTGCCATTTGAAATTTTCTTCTAGAATGATCATTTTTATCAAACTTGTATATTTAAATTCAGTAATTTCACTTAAATAACAATTAATAGGTAATCTTCATTCCCATTTAAGTCAAATTAATGAACTTAAATATACAACCTTGATAAAAATGATCATAAGAAAATTTCAAATGGCACTTATGGCTTTTGCATCTGAACTCTTCATATATATATATATATATATATAATTTTAAGTAGTTTTATAAAAAAGACAAATTATCTTTTTTAGACAAAAAGACAAATTTATAAAAAAGACAAATTATCAATTTATAAATTGACATTAAGTTAGTTCATGCTGTAAAAAAATAACAAATTGAGTCTTATTTTAAAGTGCTAATTAATCTAGACAGTGTTTCAGTTTAGCTAAAATATTGTTAAAGATATGATGCAAGCCTTGATTTAGCCTTGTTTTTATGACTTGTGTTTTGTCGGATTTGCAACTGGATTTAATTCCCTCATCTTTAGCCTCAGTATGCTTTGTGTCGACATTTGTGTCAACAGATAAACTGCAATGATTTCTGAAATGAAATCTGACTGATGCCTTGAACCTACACAGACTACCCACACATTTTGCAGAATGACTTAATAAGCAGTAAACATGTATTTCCGCAAAGCACATAAGGATCCAGACTTGAAGGTGTGCTATCTGTGACTTTAGTTATTGGGCAATTAACCAAGTAAATCTTATTGATTTGGCCGTCTCACAGCTCCACAGCTGGTTTTCTTGGTTATATTCAGGTCGTTATACTATTTTTGTCGGGACATTCCTAAAATAAGGCTTATTTTCTCACAGCTGCTGCACCAACAACCGTCTGGATAATGGAAAATGGAACACCACTTCTCCATTTGACATTTTTATAAAAACCTTAATGACGCTTTTCCACGTTATGTAACTTGACCTTTGTGCTTTATCTGTATATCATATAACCTTCCCCAAACCTTCCAAATGTATTTACGTGTCTGCTGCACTTGCAATGCGCTACCTTGTTTGAGAAACAATAGAGAGCTCTCGAATGCTGCCGTTCCACTCAGCTTGCTCAGACTGTTAGAAAACCTTTGGCACTCTCTGTATGCCACAGCACTTTCAGTTAATTCAGCAGGGATAAAAGCTTGAAACCACATGCAGAAAGCATCTCCTAGTGCGGTAAAGAATGTGGGCCAAAAATATCTCCGATATTTCTGTATCTCAGTTTTGTGATTGCTAATGGTAAATTCAAAACTTTGGTTTGTAAGAGTGTCAGATATTTTGAATTTGACAGTAAGGTCTTGGTGAATTCAGACAGACCTGTCAAGAGGTGCTTGAGTTGGAGAAATGACTGTAGCTTGAAGTATTGATGCTAAGTTTACGTAGTTCTTACAGTACAAAGCTATTGTTATTGCAGTTTTTACAGCAGTTTATTGTGCATGCAGCTCTTCATTTTAGTGACACGCCTACTTTGGATAGTTGATTTAAATAAACTGACCTAAAAGAAAAGGTTTGCCGATTATTTTGAGTCGTTAGACATGGGCAGAGCCATGTATTCAGAGAGTTGCGACACGCTTTGATGTCGCCGCAAGGCTGTCACGTGGTTCATGGAAGCCCCAATAGTTCCAAAACAGACGCGGGCTGTCATGTTCTTCAATGGACAGACAGCAGCGATTGCATTATTAAAACGGTAAATATAAAATAAAACGCACACCAATGTACTTTTTAAGCTTTTATTGCGTTTGATTAATGTCAGTGTTGCATTTGGAGAGGCAGGGTGACAACTTAGATGTTTTTTAGGCTATATTTTTGGAGGGAAAAGCTTGTTTTCCTGTTCGCATCGGTAGTTGCACTGGCTTTAGCGGCTCTAACTTAACTTTTCCATGTCATTCATCTGATGATGGACGTCTCATGACATTTAAAACTGGGATGTAGGTTATTGATTCCCGTGATCTTGCTTATAAATTCCGATTCAGCCATTAGACCCGTGGACCGGTGGCCCGTTCAGGATAACAATCACGACAACCAACGTAAAATATAAATAATTACTCTGTGCATGTACAAATGAATGATTTAGGAGGGATATAGACTGCTCCCATGACGTAGCAATGACCATATTTACAGTAATGTTCGGTAAATTTGAACTGTTAGGTATCTTTTCTATTTTGAATGTACTTTATTTTGTATAGTGCTATGGACCATTTAATATGTATGTCCTAAATAAAGATATGATGATGATGATGATGATGATGATGATGAGTTAATGAGTAAAATATTTGTTCCTAAATATGATCCATAACTGTTGGGATTCAATTCAGTGGCTAATGTAGCCCTTCATCCTACCCTATTCATAGACTAAACCATTCATCAGAAAACACACACAAATACATTTATACGAGGTACTGTACTAATTGCCCCCGAGGTACTATATATTGTATATCTAATGTTTTATATATAGTATATCTACCCAGATAGCAGACTGACATTGAATCAACGTGGAAATATGACATCGAAACAACGTTGATCTGACATTGTTTTGCTCATCGAATTAACGTTGAACCAACGTCAGACGCGTCATTCTTTCAAAACTAACGGAAAATCAGCTTGAAATCAACGCGTTGTTTCAACGTTATGAAAGCTAACCAATTTTCGATTTTCATTTAGCTTTGAAGAATGCCGCGTCTGAAAATGAATGGGGTTCAATGCTGGAACTATCAGTGGTTGGAACTAATGGGCGGGTCCATGACACGCGTTACTTCCGCATTCCTGAGTTACAATGGCGGTCTATGGGACTGTCAGAACTCTCTGAATACATGGCTCTGGACATGGGCATTCGGGGCTTCAGCCCTGGATGGGTTTTTTTATAGCCCCGGATCTAAAAAAAAATATATAAATAAATAAAAAAATATTGATCATTATTATTAAAGTCCCCGTGAACCGGAAGTTGCAAACGATTTTTCTCCAGTGCTGTGACGTATTTCCAAGTGAAACGGAATATTGAACAGAGGGCAGGGTTTTACTCTAGCGCTCCTCCTCTCCATCTCTCGCTCATAGCAAACTAACGGTTTGGGGGGAGTGGTTAAGCGTTTCCCCACCCAAGTTGTGAAACCTACGTCATCAGAAAAAGAAACCGTTCCAGACCGGAAGTAACTTTTCAGATTTTGATTAAAGATTACCAAGGTAAAACATTTTTTAAATATATTTTTACTTGCACGGATTAATTGTTCACCACAAGACTAGTAATATGCACTAACAAAGTAAATAGGTTTAATTTTGATTTCACGGGGACTTTAAATTTTAATAATTTTGTATTTATTTAAAAAAATTACCGGGTATTTTAATCTATCCTTCGGAATAATGTATTAAAGAGATTAAAATGTTCAAGCAGATCAAATTTACTATGGTTACTATGGTTACAGTGCTCGAATTGACGGGGGGGGGGGGGTGGCTGGGGGGACCCCCCATAAGCAGTAAAAAATAGAATTAGGGGGGTCCCTCTGATATTTTTATTTTAGTAAAAAAAACAAAAAAACAAATCTGATTAAATGCATGCAATACGGTAAATTTCGTGAATTGATT